CCATAAGTATTCGAATGTGGCATGTAGAACACAAAAACCCTGAAACCTCACTTGTAAATGATAGGTGAATCATATGGACAAAGCACACAGAAAGACTAACAGAAAGCCATACTAGAACTGTAGTTAATGAACATGATGATTTACTCTTATTATTTTATTTAATTCTTACTCCAGATCCTTTTCTGAACTTCTCCAGTAAAAGTTGCTTTTTGTGGGTGTGTATATTGAGATACGAATAACCAGTACAGAGATTAAAGCCATAAAATACATATAGTATACGATGCTTCCTCCAAGCATTTTTGCTTTTAGGAAGCCCTCAATCTAGATCATCTCTTCTGGCAAAACCAAGTATCAGCGGCTAAATCAAGTTAGCAAAAACCTAGATTCTTGCAGAATATGGTGATGATGATTCCGCCTTTGTCAACCTTTTACTGAAGTCGCTGTGAAGCTATGTCCTAGCATGGAGCTATGGGAGGAAAGGGGCAAAACTGGAACATTCACTGCCATGAAACCTAGTGTGAAGTTCTCTGCTTGTCATTGCTAACAACCCTGCAACAATGCCAATATTATTAATAAATAGCATTAATGCACTGCTAACAGGATTAAATTTTTTTTGTAACATGCACTAATACATACAAGATGAGACACTTATTACTACTGAAAAAAACTTAATTCTCTTCATAGCATAAAATTACATTTTTAATAACCAGGAAAAAAATTATCAGGTCATCAGTTTAACACTCATTTAAAAGTGATAACATATATTAGCCTAAACTACATTCATGCCTTGCAGATACTTGGGAGAAACACAGGGATGTCACTTGCTAAAATAAAGATTTTTTTTCTCCCTATGCCAGGACCTCTCTAACTCAGTGCTGAAAGAGAAACTTCACCCTCAGTGGCTTTTGTAATGTGTAACATGAGGTACTATTCTCCACCTCAGAATTTGTCTCAGTAACTCTAAGAAGAAAACAGTCTTAAATATCAACAATTCAAAATAAGAGAGGCTGCACACTGGAAAGAATGTCATGCCACTTCCTGATTCAAACAGACTGCATGGAAAATTCAGTCTTTCTGATAACATTGTCCATGGTGTGCTTTATATTGCTTTATCAGCATCTTCAATACTTCCCTCTCTGCAATCACACTGATCGGTCTCACTAGATAGACAATGAAACATTCCACACCGTGTGGGCGTGATTTATTTCATAACTACAATTGTTCTACTTCTTTATTTCTATGCATTTCAGTGTCGTAATTTCTGTTTCGAAATGACCCAGATAAGTGTCAGAAAAAGATTTAAAAAAAAAAGAAAAAAATTCTCCCATCCTCTCACATGAAACTATACCAATGGAAACTAAGGAATATGTTTTACAGCCACGTAGCTAAGTGTTTCTGTAGGGGAGTAACAAAGGATAAACTCATCCAGTCGTCATCAGTTTGTTCATTTCTGTTCCTGAACGATTTCAAATTAGGGAGATACTGAAGGGTTGCCATCATGACCCTTTATTTCTGTTACTTTCAAGTCTTTATATTTCCTTTATGGACTCTGATAGCTGAAAAGAGAGTTGCCTTCACCAAACATCATATTATTGCCACTTCCAACCAAAGACACAAGGAAAGAACTTCTGATTAAAGATGTTTTATGAGCTATTGTTTTGTGAACACAGGCAGAAAGATGAGAGAATCGGAAAGAAAAAGCATTAAGGAAGTAGCAGACACTGAAGTCTGTTTCAGTAGTATGACCCCTGAGAAGAGGTTAGAGAGAGAACTCCGGGGCTAAGCTGAAACTACAGGATGTTAGAGCAAAGAAAAAAATAAATTGTACGCAACTGGTCAGAGTAATAGGTCTTGGTATGTTCTCAATAACATTACATCAGCTTTTCCAATTTTCATGCCTTACTCTAACAACTTGTAGGTCTGGTATTTTGATTAAACCACATACATCAAAAGTAGTAATTTTATTTTTCACTTCCTGTCTATGGTCTTTTTGTCCCCCTGAATCTTCCACTATTCTGTACTAGAAATACACAAACAGTAGTCTCCAGCACTACCTAATCTGCAAATGAATAACTACTGGCTTAATCCTGCAATGCTGCTTCCTTGACACAAGCGGTGATCAGTGCCCTAATACAGTCTCCAGACTAATCAGCCAAACCTATGCTCAAAATATCCTTGTCTCTTCTCTTCAAGACTCCATCATTCTCACTATCCATCATCCACCTTTCTCTTCGTTTTCCTCTTGCTCTCTAATGTACAGCTGCCACTCATGTCTGTTCCAGCACTCGTGCTTGCAATTTGACTCCTGAGTGATTGATGCCCTGATGCTTTTGTACTTTAGGTAGGGGCTTCTCTTGTGTTTACTCTTAATCCTTTGAACTGCTCCTACATTTATATCTGAAACACGGTTCATCTACCAATATCCCTGATTATGGCTGCTATAAACACCAACTAACATTAAGACTAGTACAAAAAGCAATACAGACGACTAAAGGTGAAAGCTAAATCAAACCAAAGAAAGGTCCACGAACAAGTTTGTTGGGATTTCAAATAAAATCTATTTTCTTGAATTTTATACTATGCTTCTTAATTTTCATTAAAGCAACATCTGATTTCATGAAATTCCAGGAATCTAATGGAAAAGGTCTAGAAACTCACTAATATATCCAGTAATAAGTTTGCTTGATAAGTTTGGGAAAAAGAATGTAACTTTCCTGTAGTTCATCTGTACCCTATTGGATCTCCATGAGTATATCGCTAATGGAAGCTCTGTTCCTTGTAATTCATCCAGTTCTCCCCCATAGTAAGCAAGGTTTATGAGACTTCTGACTTTCAACTCTTCAGTCAGATCTGGAGGAACACAATCAACTGCTTATTTTTACCAAGCTGTACAAAACAAGACAAATCTGGGTCCTAGGGAATTACTATATTATTCACAGCAATCATGAGCTATTTTCCCCTCTTATGTTAGTAGTGTACAAGGTGCAGTATAAGGGAATCAAGTCAAGTTGATTAATAAAACTTGCCTGTTTATTTTATTAAAATATTTACATAAAGATGAAAGGAACAAATAACAATTTTTTAATTGAAAACTGTAAGCTAGTGAGCTTACACATACTTCATGCTGATGAGTATTGCCACTATATAAGACAGGTAAAAAAGAATAGATGTAGTCAACTCTATTGCAGTTCAGAAAATAAAAATGTAAGTGCCTAATAAAGGTACCTCAATCCATTCAATTAAGTTTTCTACAAATTCTACACTACAGCATTTGTTTTCTATGGGCTGGTAAAATATCATTTAGGACTGACATTTTGAAACTTAGGATTTTTATATATTCTCCATGTATTTAAAGGCACAAAATTAATATACAGGATTACTCACTGAAGGAATCATTATTTATCTTCCAGTTTGACACACCCATTTAGAGCTACAAAAGCTTATTCTTAATAAAAAACAGAATGGCTAACTATCATATCTTCCTGAAACAGAGGCTTAAATCTGATGTGTGAGATTCAAACTTTGCAAACTATTCTGCCAACAAAGCTCACAAATTCATCATATCTGAAGAAATGGGGAATTCTCAGTGTGGTAACAGTTCTACTCTTGCAACTCTTCAATCTGTCTAAGACATGTTCTAATCAGTTATATCCAAGTTACTAACAACACAGGTCCCTGACTGATTTACATCAATTTGAACCAATTGCCTCTTAGACAAGTACTCACAGAATGATGACATCTGAGGTTTTGAACGTAAAATTTCATGTTGTTCTTACACCTCCGGGTCAGGGTTCATACTTGAGCCTAATGCTTCTTATTGACCACACTGTTTTATAGAAATTATGTCGCCATTGGCTGAAAACATTCGTACAATAAATATGGGACATACAGGGAATAATTATAAATATCACGAGGTAGCACAAAGGTGGTAAAATATATTCATCACAATCACTGTGCATGTATATAGCAATTACAAATCATATAAGGTCTTAATTTTGCACCAGAGCAAGTCTATGCAGGCTTATCTAGGCTCACAGTAACAAATCACACAAGTGATATGTTAATTATTAATATTTTTCTGTCTTTCGCTTTTGTACCAGTTTTAATTGCATAAGAAAATGACAGAGCTGCATATTTTGAGTTCTAAGAGAACATTTTAAGTATTTTTGAAATGTATTTTTTTTTTATTAAAAATATAGTCAAAGTTTCACAAAGTAAAAAATTAAGCAGCAGGAGATTTAAGGTACAGATTAAGGTTTTTTGGTGTATGGGTGACTAAGTACAGAGCAAGGAACCTGATACTCCTGAAGACTGTTACCAGTCTCGACACTTGGCTGTGTGGCATTAGGGAAGCTGTCAAGTAAGTGCCAAAGGAACCAACTGTGTATGACCTAAGCAAGAGTTTCAGGTCTGGTTTTACAGAGCAAGACCAAAAGCGTGAGGAAAAATAATCACCCAGGGAAGAAATTCTGAGATATCTCTATCTATAAAGAGATTAATGTATGTCTAGTTTAGTGAGTGCTGTACATTCTAACACTACAAACTCTGCCTTAGCACATTTCAATCTCTCGTGACCAAGTTCTCTTAAAAAAAAAGACAAAAACAAAACCAAAAACAAGCACAACATTGCCTTAAAGCTTTTTTTCTTTTTCAAGCATGGTCTTACAATAGTCTCAGCCTTGGGAATTCAGATCCACTACAAGAGAAAAAAATACACTCAAGTACTATATGTGATCTAAACATCATTTTTTCCAGCAAGCTATTCTTAGATTTTGTTCTGACAAATCAACCAGTTCAAATAAAGCATAGGAACCTGGGAATGCTAAGATTGCTCTACAATTTAAAACAAACAAACAAACAAAAAACCCCCCAACAAACCAACCATTGAAAACAAACTCTGACACTTTCCCACTAAGCTTCTTTGATTTTTCGAAAATTCAAACAGCATTTTGTCTGTACCTGAATAAAACAGCCAAGCGACATCATTTGATTTCACTCACCTCCTGAAACCACCGGTTATGGTAACTAAAGCATCTGGTAGAAACGTACACACAGTATTCTTGACAATCAAGCTTACTGCATCAGCTTCTGCCTTAGATACACAGCTAACAAGGTCCTCATAGTAGAGAAACCCTGGAAATCAAACGCAAAAAAGTGCAGATCACTCTGCAGAATTATCAAAACCAACATAGTGTTAAGTGAGCCCCGTGTGAAATAGCCACCTCTCACCAAGTAGTAAAACCAGGCAACTTGTATCATGGGCAAAGGAACCCTGTCTAGCGGCAAGAATTAAGAAATATTGGATCTTGAACCTGAAACTATAGTTTTGTTTCAAGACATGTTGTGGGAAGAAATATATTTTAACTCAGCCTCTTCAGGAGTCTTTTCCTTCCTCCCCAACATTCCTGGAGTCAGTCTCCTGCCTTGGATGTGGGGGATCATAGGCAAGAGACAGCCTCCTCCTTCCCTCATGTTTGTCCTTATAGTTTTTATATATTTTTGTCATAATTTACTATAAATTGTAACTGCTGTTACAATTTATAACAACATAGCAGTCAGGATAATTGCTCCACTTGCTGAGAACTTGAACATTTATAAATTACTCTGACTTCCCTACCAGCTCCCATCAATGGCATTTCTGGACATACTGTTTAAAAAGGTGCTTTTCCTGAAATGATGGAGTTCTACCTAAGTACAGGGCTCAGAGGTATGTGAAATATCCCAGTTATCTTTATGTCTGATCACAGAGCTTGTATCAAAAAAGCCTAATCCTGCAGCTTGCTTCACATTTGTATATGATATGTAAAATAATAAAAGACAAAGGAGCATGAATGTGGGCAAGCTGATCCATGGGATTCTGAGGTGATGTAATGATGTAAAACATACGGGTTTAATTCAAAAGTAAAGTTACATTATTTTAATGTCATGTTATATAATCTCATTTTCTTAACGTAACTGATTCCTTTGTTTAAATGAAATCCTTTATTTAGGGAAATGGCACACACACACAAAAAATCTATGGGCAAGCAATGTTATTCATTTGACCATATTTAATACTTTAAAGTTAAGATGTGCTAGGATTATAGAAGCAATTTTACAAGTAATTCATTGCAAATCTGATTTGTCACTAAAGTAGCGCTGCCTTGATGGAGACAGGTCTGGAAAGCAGTTCTGGGCTTTCCTAATGTTGTAATTTTTTCATGACCTGTGTAATAATGACCCATTGATAGTTCTGTGTATAAGAGCAGATTTCATTGGGTATCTGTGTAAGCAATTAAAAAAAAAATGCATATGAATACGTTTTGAATAACACCATTTTTATTTAGGAGCTCTGTTAATCAAAATATTATTATAACCTTATAATTTAATATTCACAAGACATGGCAGCAAGAAGAGAGATGTATAAATGAACTTTGCCTCCTCCTCTGATTTTATTATCAAGTTCTTAGAGCACCAAGACACAAGTTTTTATGAGACTTTCACCTTACCTGCTTTCTGCATTTTTGTCAGCTTCAGGGTCTTGACAGCTTTTACCTCTTCCAGAGTTCGTAAACCCATTCTGTACCATTTCTCAGATGTCTTCACTCCCACTCCAAATACTGAAGTAAATTGCTAAGGTCAGTAAAAGAACACACACATTTCAGTGTTGTTTTCTAAAGGAGCAATGAATTAACATTAAGTAGGTAACAATGAGGTTTCACAGGGAAAATACTGGGCAGAGTTTATCCTGCATTGAAGATAAATAATAGTGTAATACAAACATACAGATTCAACTGCCTTTCTTTGCACAGTTACATTGAACACACGATTGTTTTTATACATGGGCAGTTCTCATTAAAGTGAAATCTATACAATGATACAGAAGTATCCCCAGCATCTTTATGTGATTTACCTAAATGTACGCTTTCAATTAAGGATTGAAATAAGGACAGTAGTCTTTATTTTTACTGCACGATTAAGAAATGCAAACAATGTTATGTACCTGGATTCTTACACTGACTTCATAGAATAAGAGATGTCTCATGGCTATCTTGCTAATTTGACTGACATTATGATTTTTTATTATATGCATTACCAGCTCCCAGTTGTACACATGATGCTGGTGTTACAGCACTTCCAAGAATGAGGTCAGTGGGAACCTTGTGGCTCTTTAAATTCTGCACTGAGAGCAATCGGTCTCAATGGTGCATGGAAACAGATGGTAAGTACATGAAGACAACTAATCCATTCTTATACTGCATTCCATAAAACACATATGTTTGGAGGTCATGCCAAATACTGTTTTCCAAAACGGGATTCAATTTCAAGTGCAAATGGTAATTTTTGTTTGCTCGCATATTAAAGTGTCGTACAACTCTTCAGTCCTTCCGTGAGCCAAGCTAAATTCCTACACATCTTATTTAGAGTACAGATTTCACTGCTTCGCCCACTGGAAAAATACATGTCCAAACCTACCAGCCTCTGAAGTTTTAGTATGGTTATATTCCATTTATTCCAAAGTAATTTTCTACACTAGCTTATTCCCCTAGAACGCATGTAAAGCAAAAATGTCACAGTTGTAAGCATTATTCAGTGGATCAATATCTCAGATGAACAGTGATATGAAAGCAAGAGGGAAAACTTTCATGCTTGCCCAAAAGCACATTCTTTATGCTTAGTTTGTCAATACTGAAGCTCTCAATAGTTTCTTTGTACTTTTATAGAAGTCAATGAGTAGCCATGTAAGACACGAATAACTGCTGTTTTCCATTGAATCTACAGCCTCTGAATTCCAACCATGCAAGCTTTATTTTGTGTTTTTCTAATGAGATTAATTCCTTGGAAATAATTAAGATGAAGAAAAGAGAAAAATTAAAATCTTGGATAATATTAAACAGGAATTACCCTACATTTTGTATATAATGGATTAAAGTACCTATTCTTTGTCCGAATCATGGGTATTTATGAAAGAATGTGATTTTTTTTAAAATACTTAGATTGCTATCTTTTAATGTTTTTGCTACTGCTAAAAGATTTTCAAAAGGGTCTTTTACTGGGTTTAGAATGATTTCAAGAGACTTAATTAATATTGGGATAGACAACTAAAGATAATGGATTCTATGTCTGTGATAGTTTGATGTGTGGGGGGGT